GGCTCTGGCTGTTTGGGGGTGCTGTCCCACTCCTGAGCCCACAGCCGATTTGGGGTGGCCCTGCAGAGGGGGATGAGCGCCAGGACACCCGAGCTTTGTGTGGGTTCATCAGCCCCGAGCTGCGGGCAGGGCCGCTCCCCGAGCCTTGGAACACAAACCCCGCTGCGTCCCACCGTGACCCTTGCGCAGGGAGGGTCCCTGTGCCCTGGCCAGTGCCGGGCGCGGGAGGACGCACCGCTCTCCCCGCCGCCGCCCCCCCGGCCCCGGCCCCGGCCCCGCCGCCCCCCCGGCCCGGCCCCTCCACCGCCCCCGGCCCCGCCCGCACTTTGTCAATGGATCGGGCGGGCCCCGCGCTCCCTCTGGCTTCGGCCAATCAAAAAATCGCTCCGGCGCTCCCCGCCAATCAGGGGCTGTCGCTGGGTAGATTAGAGACCGGTCTCGGGCAGGGGGCGGGTTCAAACGCGTCGTGCCAGTGCTGCCAGCCAGTCACAGGAGGAGATGGGCGATGATTGACAAAGGAGCGAACCAATCAAAGCTGGCGATGCGGTGCCTGTGAGGAGGTGGCCGCATTCTGAGCGACAGCTCCCTCAGCCAATCGGCTGCCGGCTGGGACAGCGGGACACGCCCTCCAGCGGACAGACGGCGTTAGACGGCCGGACAGGAGGACAGACCGACAGACAGACCGACAGACCGACCGACAGACAGACCGACAGACAGACCGACAGACCGATAGAGAGCCGGACAGCAGGACCGACAGACAAACCGACCGACAGACCGACAGACAGACCGACAGCCAGACCGACAGACCGACAGAGAGCCGGACAGCAGGACAGCAGGACAGACCGACAGACAGACCGATAGAGAGCCGGACAGCAGGACAGCAGGACAGACCGACAGACAGACCGATAGAGAGCCGGACAGCAGGACAGCAGGACAGACCGACAGACAGACCGATAGAGAGCCGGACAGCAGGACAGCAGGACAGACCGACAGACAGACCGATAGAGAGCCGGACAGCAGGACAGCAGGACAGACCGACAGACAGACCGATAGAGAGCCGGACAGCAGGACAGCAGGACAGACCGACAGACAGACCGACCGACAGACCGACAGACCGACCGACAGACAGACAGACCCATAGACGGCCGGACAGACGGACAGACAGACCGCACCGTAGACAGATCGGCAGATAGGTGTCCGCCCCCTGCCCTCCGAGCGCACGGCCCCAGCAGATGGAGGCACGGGCGGACGGACAGAAGGACATGCCCTTTGCAACCCCTGGGACAGACAGACGGACGGACAGACATCCCCTCTGCCTCCCCTGGGATGGACAGAGAGACGCCCCCCTCTGCATCTCCCAGGACGGACGGACGGACTTGTCCGGCTCTGCTCTCCTAAAAGCAGAAATAAATAAAGGCAGATGACAGAGGCAGCATTGCCCCCCAGGCACGCAGGGAATGCCCGGGCACTGCTGAGTCACTTGGACTCACAGAACATCCTGAGCTGCGAGGGATCCGCGGGCATCACCGGCTTCAGCTGCTCCAGTCTGGGGGGACTCACGTAGGTGACTTCCCCCCTCCCCAGCTTGGGGTTCGGGGCCTTTAGGAGCCCCCCAGCCACAGTTTGGTGCTGTTGTCACAGGAAAAGTGGAAGCTTCAGACAAGCCCTGCCTTAGCCTCGAATTTTGGCAACAGTTAAGTTGAGCCTCAAGTTCTAATGATGGCAAATCAGATTTATAAAAATGAATAATTTATTAAATGGCCAAAGGTAATAGATGAAAGATCTCAATAGGAATTACTGAACAGGATAAAACTGAAGAGCCACAAACGGGTTACAGCACAGCAAACAGTGCACTGTAGCAAGGCACCTGTATTAAAGCTGGCCATAGGAATAGGATTGATTTGCCACCAAAACAACGATAATGTGCACAAATTTATGGATGCTAACGGTGAAGCAGGCAGCACAGTGCCTGTGAAATAGTGCCACATAACTCTCTCAGTCTCGCCTGGGAAAGAGGCCTGGGAATTCATAAAGAGAAATTAAAACAATCCTCAGAGATAGAGAACAGCCTTGCAGGTGCTGTTTGTCAGTTCCTTGTTTTCTTGCAAGAGAAGGTCGAGGGGTGGTGAACCCCACTGACCAATGATGGTGATGTGTTAGTTCACTGACCAATAAGAGTTTTCTTTTCTGTACTTTTCACGTATCGTTCTATAAAAAAGATCTGAGGTAATAAACCGAGAGAAATTCTCCTGTTTGACTCCACAAGAGAGTCTGTGTCGTTCTTCTCGCCGTTCCAAACAGAGCGACACAGATTCCTTCACTTAACCCCTGAGGAGTAACCCTGAAACTGAGAAACTGCGTTTCTCCCACTCACAAGAGAAACTCCACACATTTCCAGGAAAATGCACAGAAGATTTCTGCTTTGTGGAAGTTTGTTGTGGCTTTTAAAGTGTCTGTCAGTGATAAATCCAGTTTATCTTGCCGGATCTCACTTTAACAGAGAGGTGCTCATTGGCAGCTGGGAGATGTTGATGCCCTGGCTCCAGAATAACTCACTGCAGCACAGCTTGTCCTGCTTGCTCAGCAAACAGCAGCTCAGCTCTTGTGGGGATGAGATGCCTTGCTACAACAACTGAGTGCAGCACATCACACCAAGGTGCTCTGCAGTTTCCTGCTCAGATCACAAACTCCCAATTTTGTAGAGACTGAAGTGCCCATGTACTCCCTACAAGCACTCTCACATTTCCCACTCTCACTGAGCCCAGCTGCAGAGCTCAAGTATCCAGGAGCTGCTGCCATAAGAATGGACTAAGAACAAAATCCCAGGGCTGGCCTGCACATTTCCCTTGCAGCTCATAAACCACACCAAACACACTGCTGCTCTGTAGTTTCCTCCGCAGCAATTGCTTCACATTCAATCTCACACAATCTGAAGATAAACCAAAGTTTCCAGTGAGAGTCACAGAGGAAAATGTGCCAGCACAGAAAGGCTTCTCTGACTTTACAATCACACTCAGATTGCATTCACTGCCTCCTGAAGTCTGGACCCTGCACACAGCTGGTGGTGCTGGCACATTTTCTGTGTGAAGGTGTATCAGGACCTTTGGTCACTGCAGGGCTGTGAGGTGTGTGATGATGCTCATAAGCTGAGGAAAGCGCAATGGGAAGATAATTTAGAGGTTTTGGGAAAGTAATTTACAGGTTGTAAAGGAAAGAAGATTGCTGCTTGATTGTGGTGCAGATACAGTTTTATAGTGCAAGTTTCCACACCTAAGGAGCAAGGTCCTGTCCTGGCACAGTTATCTGTGTGAGAGGCAGCATTTTTAGACTACAAGAGAGAACTTTTTTAGCCTGACAGAATGTGATGGTTGTTAGAGCTGAGAAGGAAAGTGCTGGCACGGGTGTGTTTTGACTGAAGCAGCGCCCTGGAGCGCTTCAGTGATGGCACAGAGATCTGGGCAAGGAATAAACATTTTGGATCTGGGAGAGGGAAGGGTGTGATGGTTGAGAATGAACCTGCAGAGTTCTGAGGGTGCAGGGCTGCATGAGGAGTGTGAT